TTCGCTATTTAGGTGAGTAGGAACTATATTATTATTTTTTTCAATGACTAAGAAGTACTGGCTAAGCTAAGCTGTATTTTTTCCTGTTTGAAACCCTTTCAGCCAGGTTTACAGAGCAATCCAATGGCTGGGATGAATTCTATAAATATATGTCATATATGTGGAAGGGGAGGTGTACAGTTGTACATTTGAAAAGAGAAGATTTAGGGTTAGAGTTAGAGTTACGGTGGTCGTGGTTTTTGCAGTTTAATCTAACACAATTTTTTTCATTGTGCAAACAGGAAAAAAATAAAATACAAAAATCAAGCACAATGTGCAATGCAAAGCCTTTCACTGAAATTCAAAAACAATCAAAGGATATCGAAAGACAAAGAAGGGAATACTGTATACCTGGGTGTTGCTGGGAAGGCTTTAGGGGATGATGCCCCGGATTCCATAAGGGAACACTCCACGCACCATAACTACTACATACTGCTGTAATGGTGATGGTGCTTGATGTGCCCTGTTGCTGTCCCAGCATAATCTGTTAAACAGTTTTAGCTTGATTTGATACTTACCTGGGTCCCACCGAGCACCTGCACTGCTTCTGGTCTTGTCAAGCAGGAGACGCTGGATGATAAATGTAGGTGTTCATTCATTGGATGAGATCACAGCTGGGCGCTCTCAGACAGTGAATGAGTTCCAATCTTGAACATCACTGACATCTGACTTTGGCAGCTGGCACCCAGGTAAGTGTCAAACTGCGCTAAAACAATTTGATAGATTTGTGCTGGAATGGTGCCAGTGCGCGCCTGGACAAACGCTAGTGTATGTGTGCGTAAAAAGGAGGTATGGAATAGAGGGGTGAAACCATAAATTAGAGGAGTGGTGGAAGTATTGAAAAAGGAAAGATACTTCACGTTCATTTGGAAAAAAAAAGTAAGGGGAGAAAACAAGTATTATATGTGAGAGGGCAATAGAAAAGGGTTGTGCGAAAATGAAAGGGAGAGAAGAGGGAACGTGAAGGAAGGCTGGGGAGCAAGGAGATACCTCAGTAGAGAGACAGACAGAGCTGTGAAAAACAGAGAGTGCAAAGAGAAGTGGGCAGAAAAATTAAAAAAAGATTTGGGTGGAAAAATGGGAGAAAGGCACGAAAAAGAGGTGTTGAGAGAATGTGGAGTATAGGTGGAAGAGCAATTTAAAGGGACACCGTAGGCACTGTATCTGCTTCATCTCATTAAACTGGTTATAGTGTCTGGAGTCCCCTGGTACCATCATTTCTTTCAGCATTAAACAGTTTTTAGTGTTTTTATGTTTTAATGCTAAACAAGAGTCCCCGGCAGTCTATCCCATCTGTGCAGCTTTGGCTAATAAGGAAGTATTAGCCTGAGCAGCAGTGGACAGCTGTGATTGGCTGAGAGTGTCAGCTGACTGCTTTCAGCCTGTCAGAGCTCCAACTGACGGTATGAAAGGGTATGACAACAAGGAAGTGTGTAATCTCTGCCTTAGCTACACATACTGAAGGGGCCGGACTGTGGGTGGCCAGGGACTCTTATTCTGTGGCATACTGCACAAACATGGTGCAACACTGAATGGAGGGACAGTGCCAGGGCACTCCAGGCACTATAACCAATTCAAAGAGATGAAATGGTTATAGTGACTACAGTGTCCCTTTAAATGATTGGGGAGGTGGCATGTCAGAGAGATGGATAAAACATGAAGATGAAATGGTAGTGTGAAGAAAAACAAGGGCAGAGAATATTGGAAATGAGGGGGGAAATACATATGAAGGCAGGGAAAGCATGGGAGAGTGAAGAACATGGGAGAGCAATAGGAGTGGAGTATTTTTTATTTGGACTCAAGCCTTGGGTGTTTCTTATAACTTACTGTTGACAAAAGGGGAAATTCAAGGGAAAGTTTGCCATTAACCTATGTCTTTTCCCAGCAGCAAACATTAGTGCCGCTTGCAGGAAAGGGAATTAGTTTGCATGATTCACATTTTATGTGATCATTTTCTGACCTTGCATAGACCTCTGTTTTATACGCATGTGCGAGAATGCAAGTGAAGCAAGATCATGAAGGATGAAGCACCAGAAACTGAAGGCAAACTGCAGGAATACAATGGCTGCACCAGCCAGAGAGAATTTATATAAATACATATCCATTTAGGTTGTTCCCTGGTGGGCATTTCACATATTAAAGCAAGCAAATATTCTGCAAATCACAATGCTGGTTTAAGTGCCCGACGTGTTCCTTCTTTCATGTGAGGGAGAGTCAAAAGGTGTTAGGCAGGTTTAACGTTTGTCTTTCCAATAACGTGTGCGTACATGTGTATATATGTGTACCTCTTACACCTCAAGTTTTTTCTGCTTGTTAAAAACAATTGTCATTACAAACACATGCAATGTCTAATGGGATAAAATGAAAGGGTGACTAACCACCCAGAACGAATACCAGGGTTGTATTTATGGGTCCAACATGCTGGTTTTAGAATTTTATATAATTTGTATTTTGTGTTGAAGGATGGAGTCCAGATGATAAGACGTCACAAAATATTCTTCAAAAGGCAAAGCTTCTTCACTGGAACGGAAGATATAAACCATGGCATATGCGCAGTGCACACAGTAATCTATGGGAAGAATGGTATATCCCAGACCCAACGGGGAAATTTCAGTTACACCGTGTCTGATACAATCTCTTGCACAATCCTAATATTCCGTACCACCTGTTATATGTACAATGCCTCCATACTGTCGAAAACACAACTGTATAGCATTATCCTCTCTGTGTGTAAGATAGATACAGTAATTAGATAATTCATGCTAAAGTCAGGTTATAGCACAAAATAAACAAGCAAAAAAAAAAAAAAAGGTAACAAATTTACTGGTACCTTCAATAAGCTGAGAATATTCTTTTTTTTCATGAATGAAATTACTAGCACCAGCTTCTGAACTATATATCAGTCTAAGACTTGAGTAACATCAGAGATAATATGCAATCTGAAGCCAAGCCTGTTTCTATGTAAATATAGCCATTTTCTGTTAATAAGAGATCACAGATTCCGTTTGTTAGATCATTTTAATAGTTTAATTTCCAAAAAATTTTTTGGTTTTGTTTTTTAAATAAAAGTGTTTGTGTTTTCGAACTGTAACTTGTTTTTACTTCTGGCAAACTCATATTTTTGTTATGATATGTCTAACCAGAGCTTGAAGAAAGGGATGTATGTACTCTGATCAGCCACAACAATAAAGCCACCTGCATAATGTCGTGTAGGTCCCCCTTGGCTGCCATACCAACTCTGATGCGTTGAGGCATGGACACTAGAAGACCTCTGCTTTGTTGTTCCAGCACATCCCACAGGTGCATAATTGGATTGAGATCTGGGGAATTTGGAGTCCAAGGCAACACCTTGAACCGTTTCACTTGTTCCTCAAACTATTCCTCAACAATTTGCGCAAAGTGATAGGGTGCATTATTCTGATAAAAGAGGCCACTGCCATCAGGAAACACCATTACCATGAAGGGGTATACATTGTCTGCAAAAATCTCTAGGTAGGTAGTACGTGTTAAAGCAACATCCACATGGATGCCAGGACCCAAGGTTTCCAAGCAGAACATTGCCCAGATTATAACACTGCTTCCGCTGGTCTACCTTCTTCCCAAAGTGCATCCTGCTGCCATCTCTTCCCAAGGTAAACGACACACATGCACCTGGCCATTCACCTGATATAAAAGAAATTGTGATTCATCATGCCAGGCAACCTTCTTCCATTGCTTCACAGTCCATTTCTGATGTACGGAAATATAGCAACTATGCTATGAACTTGCAGCAGAGCAATAACATTCTGTGCTTGGCAGTGGGGCTCGTAAGCAATGATTCCGCAGTAGCTCCCTGATTCTAAGGCCAGCCTCAGGGATTTCATGCTGACCCTATATTACTTTTGCTTATTAGCTCTATGACTAGACTAAATAGTCAGAGTTAATAAGCAACAGTGATTAGTCCCAGCTCAGTGTCTGCTGTTTGGCAATACTGCTTTCACAAGCCAGGGAGCAGAGGGCAATGGCTTCTGGTGTTAGCAACCCTGCATCACTACAGGTGCATTACTAAAATGAGTGCATGCTCTTTATAGGAGATAAAACCAGGCACTCAATGCTTTGTAGCAGCCAAAACTCCCATAAGTAAATCAGACAAATGACCTTAAGGTCAAATTAAACCGCTTCAGGCCAGAGTCTGGAATGGGCTGAGAGTATTGCAAGAATGCAACGCATAAAGGGAAGCTGCTGTACAGAATAATAACATGGCATCACATGAAAAACACATGCACTGGCACGGACTAAACTGCATATTGAAATCATTTCCTAAATTTCTCATATACCTTCAAAAGAAAAAATAGCTCATCACAAAAAGATTAACACAAGTTATGATTTTCAATGTTTTTATTTATTTTTCATTACATTTCCAAAGGCATGACCAATTATATATTTACACTGCAATGTTGCAAACTTTATAAGCTTGTCTGAGAGTGACCAAGGAAGGAGTTCCCATTTTGGTGGAATGATGGGTCAAAGGTCCAAAACAACTGTAGCTTAACAAAGCAGTTTTGGATCATGCCCCTGCAGTCTCACTGCTCAATTCTCTGCTACCTAGGAGGTAAATCAAATTGTTCATGCAGCCCTAGTCAAACTTTCCCTACCTGGGACTTTACTAGTCTACATGGCAAAAAAAAAAAAAAAAAGTTTCATTTTGTTTTAATCAGCACAGTGTTAACCTTAGAAGTTGTTATCTCCTGCTCTGTTAATTTAAAGGGACACTATAGTCACCAGAACAACTACAGGTTTGTATTTGTTCTGCTGAGTATAATCGGTTCCTTCAGGCTTTTTGCAGTAAATACTGTTTTCTCAGAGAAAAGGCAGTTTACATTACAGCTTACCGATACCTCCACTGGCCACTCCTCAGATGGCTACTAGAGATGATTCCTGGGGCACGAACATGCAGTGTATCCACCCTCTGCATGGAGACACTGAACTTTCCTTATAGATCTGCATTCAATTGATTGGCTAGGGCAGTGTTTGGCTTGTGCTGGATCTGTCCCTGATCTACCTCCTTGATAATCTCAGGCTTTCCTACGGAAAAGCATGGTGATTGGCTCAGATCACCACTTCTGATTATGTCAGCCAAGCAGGTAGATCAGTGGCAGAGCCAGCAGCAGACTGCAGTAAAAGGTAAGATTTTACTACATTTCTGGAGGTGAGGAGGGGCCAGATGGTGTTTTTAACACGATATAGTCAGGAATACAGGTTTGTGTTCCAGGCCCTATAATGTTCCTTTAACTTTTATCACACACAGGAGGCTCTCGCAGGCTAATAATGGCAATAGATAAGAATTAAACAGACCGTGCAATAAAGGAAAGATTATCAAAATTGATGTAGTATATCTACCTACTATGTCTGTGTTGCTGTGGATTTCAGCAATACTACTGCTTAGTAATGAGATAAGTCAGGAATATGGAGGTTTATACTGTTATGCAAAAGCAAAAATTAGACATATGAGAAAAATGTACATGCACCCTGGTGCTGAAAAACTTAGAGTTAAAATCGATACACAAAAGGTTATTTTAGAGATGATGTGATTTTTATTTACAAAATTCAGTTAGGGTTTTAAAGCAGCTGCCACCTTTGGGGTCATTGTATTTTGTTTATTTTTATAAGACCCTATTAAGAGACATTCCCACTTGGGGTTTGGAGGCCTGGCGACACAGTGGAAGATAGATATGCTTACCTAACCTGTCCCCTACAGATTCTGCCACCTCATCCACCACAAGCAGCACTGTACTCTCACTCATGCAAGACCTGAGACATTGTCAGCAGAGGCTCCATCATAAGACAATATAGATCCTACTTTGTGTTATGGTATCTCTCTTCACTACATCAATGTGACCATTTCACAACGATCGTTATCGTTAAGAAATACTAAAACTATTTGACCTAAGCAGCAGAGCCGCACTAAGTTTACCCATTTTGGTGCACAAGTTGAGTCGCCTTGAATCCTGAAAATTCAGATGAAAGTGAATAACCCATGGGTGTTTATTCTTTAGTGATTTTTATCACACAAAAGTTTTGGGTGACTATCACAAAGTTGCACTTTGTAATCTCTGACAAATCAGTAGCTTGAGCTTCACATTATCAGCACAATCTATTATTACAGTTTTTTTATTTTTAACATCTATAGCAAACATGCTCCACGTTCTGCATAGCTACGTGAACATTTAGGTTTTCAGAAAATGAAATGAAACTGAACAATATTTTGTTGTGGAATCAGACTTCATATTTTAATGCTTACATGTGTGAACACAATAGGCTCCATTTACAAGCATACAGCAAACAGCTAAAACATATCCATTTGAAATACAAATATATAGATTTCAGCAAGACTCTGAATTAGTTCTAAGTTCATGCTGGAACACATCCATGTAAACAATGTAGATGATACAGTACTTGAGTTATACATACATACACACACACACACACACAATTTCCAAGGAATCCAATCAGAAAGTGGTCAAGTAGTACTTTAAAAAAATTATTTAATACTAAGTAGGGTTGAGAGAAGAAATTGGATAATAGCCAATGCAGTTCTAGTAACATGATAGTTGAGACATCTAGGAAAATATATTTTTCTACATAAAAAAAAAATAAAAATTCATGAAAAATAAAACCAAAAAACATTAATATGCCAACATTAACAGTATTGCTTTGAAGATCATGCCAAACATTTTACATAAATCCAAAGTCAGCAAATTAATATTTTTGGTGATAATTCCGCCCTTTTCAGATATGTCCCTATAATACCTCCACAAAACATCCAACAAGTCTCAATCTCTGAGGTCTTTAAAAGCTTGACAAAAAGAAAAGCTAAGAGATGTTCGATTTTTAAACAAATTTTGTTTATGGTTTGCAATATCTGAATGGTATTGAAAATGACATGAATATTAAAAGAACAGGTTTATTTATGCAATATGCAGTTATGGATAAGGAGATTACAGTTTAAGTATGCATACATTATTAAATGTCCACGTGAAAATGTATTTCAATGATTAGTGAACCCTCTACTGTCAAAGTACAAAAAAATAAATTAATTAATAAAGTTACTGTTTAGTAGATATACCTTCAATGAAAATATACATGCATTTAAAGTATGCATTTTGCATAAATCAAGCTTGTAAATGCTGCAGACCTCTTGTATGAATCATTGCAAGCCCTCCCCTTCTAACCCCGCCCAGATTTTCTGTTTCTGTCAAATCACAGATTTCCCAATGCTGATCAATGAGAAATCTTTGTAAGGCAGGTGCTCTGAGCAATTACCTGCCTCCAGTGAACTAAACAAACCAGGAAGTATCAGGACCAGTTATCTGATGACAGCCAGTAGGACGTAATAAAGGTTAATTTACTAACAAGCTATCTTTTATCTTCAACTTCTGATGCATAAGTTACAAGGTGTTGTCTCAATATTGTATTTTCATTTATGTTCATTAGTACAAGACAGAAGTCAATGTGTTACAAGAAGCTTGATTTTCACTTCCATCAACGGTGGTAAAAGTTGATGCTGGAAGCTACACCTTTGTCAGCTTTGGGTTTAACTAGAAGACAAAAGTAGTCCCTACTCTGTCTTTTGATTGCACTGGAATTCCAGTGCAATCAATGCATTTTTCATGAAGATTTTAGGTTAATAAAATACTAAAAATAAATCTGTCAGACATGAAGCACTGTGGCGATAAAGGGTTAATCTGCCTTTGTTGTATGGATATAAGAAGTTAGGGGAGGTTTATGATCCCTGTTATGTTGTTGGAGAGCTAACAGGGTGTGGTGCATACAGCTAATTAAATCTATTGAGAACACTGCTGCTGAGCGATCAAATTCAGTCCTGGCGATTCTGGTCTACTAGCTCTTCAAGGAAGACACCCAGGATCTGAACAGACCCTGATGGGGTCTCCCTGGATACCGACCTGCAGTTGGTGGTTCGTGCTGGGCTTTGCCAGCTGCCCAAGCCTGCATCACACTGATCGACAGAGGTAGCATGCTGAAATTTCAGCATTACAGGGAAATATCCCTGTAATCATGAAAACAGTCAGTAGATGGCAGTCACATGCTGCTCTCTACAGTTTTACCTGGGAAGCATATGGTTAGCGTTAACTAAAAAAACATTAATTCAGAACCTAGACTTATGAGGCCTGTAACAATTAGGACTGATACATAACTCTTTGTGGAGTTATTTTCTTTTTAGTTGCACTTGATGTGTAGAAATGTTCATAAAGAAGAATGAGAGAATGCATTTTGCATATATATATATATATATAGGATATCAAGCCCTTTCTGTTTCTTAAACACCAAAAAAGCCACAACAGAGCAATCCCTAAATCCTTGACTGGTAGTGGGTACTTGAAGACTGGGTTAAGAACCCCTGACTTAGGACCTTAAGGAAATAATGATGATGACAAAACTTGCCGTAGTATTTGCATTAAATTTTTTACTGGTGCCCCAAGTGTCCTCTAATGGATGATTTTAGCATATAAAACTAGAGGGATTAATGTTTTAGTACATATCTGGTTACTGAAGTGACTCGTTCACTATTACAAGCAGCAATCATAGTAACGTAATCTTTCCTTGAGGATTCCTCTGGAATCTGAACATTTAGTAACAGAACGTTGTGTTGTGAGGAGAACTGTTGACAGGAACAGTTGCACGGCCATGGTGTATTAACACCAGATTTGATAAATATCACACTTAATATCATCTTGCCACTCCTCTTTCCTCTACAAACTGCAGTCATTCGCCACACACTGCAAGAATACAACACAAAACAAAAAACACTCATGACTATAAATAAAGGCATAGCCACATGGTAAAAAGTAAAACATTTAAAAAAAAATTAAGATTTGTCTTAAATTAATTAAGCATATAAGCACCATTTGTATATCCCATACATAAAATAACTCTGTAGAATTATTCAATAAAAAGGATGCTGTACTCATCAGTGTACTAAAATCACTATAAAATCCTACGCAGAATTCATTTTACATGTAGGGACACTTCACTGGATCATTTATCCCTCCATGCGACTCAACTCTATGCAATGCAGAGATGGGGGCCCACATGTGATAACTAGGGCACCATGCATAAAAAGTGTTTGTGTAACATGCCAAAACATTTGAAACAAATGTATTAGGAAAATCAGTCTTCCTTGTTTCCTGTACAGCTCAATTGGAAGAAGAAGAGAGAAAAAAAAAAAAGTAAGTCTATGAATATGTATGATTGGGGTTAAAGAACAAATTCTATAAGGCCTATAAAAATTCAAGAATGTTGTGCTGACTCCAAAACACCCGCTTCAATCTATACATACAACGGTTATTGTGTCTGAAATAATGAGTAACAATATTTTTCCAAATTATCATGAATAGGTTATGCAGTTTGTGAACTTACATACAAAAAAACAGAAAGTACCAGAAAAAGGTCTACTTCTAGATATCTGCTATCTAAAAAAGTTGAAATATGAATTAAAACTACCTACTTTAAAAGGTAATCTAGCACTACAATACACTAATAAAAAAAAGAGGTAAAATGTTAACAGAATTAAAAAGGCTTCAGTTATCCAACTGAGGTACGGTTATCCTTAGGACTGCAATAAAACTGCAGCTCGAATGCATAGCTCGGAACACAGACACGTCTAAGCACTGCCTTCTTCTTCCTGTTGTTCATCACAGTGGTTAAAAGTCGACATCTGCTCGATATATGGCGGAGGCATCCAGTGTCCATTTGGAACTTGATCCGCAAACTCTTGATTACAGGGTCCTATAAAAAAAAATAAAAAAAATATATATATATTATTATTATAATTATATATATAATATTTTTATTATGTATTAAACTTTATGAAGAAATTTCTATTAACATAGGTAATTCTTCTGTGGATAAAAATATGATGTGGTTTAAAGTGGAACTGTCACCATCCGTGGACATTGCATAATTTGCAAAGACCACCAATGGTGGCTTCGCTGCTAGAGGTCCAGTGGCTGAGGGATTTACATTTTTAGACAGCGGTAGCTAGTGTTAAGTGGTCCCTACTTTGTCTGATTGGATTGGAATATCTGTTGGTTTTTTTGGCAGCCCATATAAACTTAAACTTAAGCCCATGCTAGCATTTGAGTTTGAAATGCTTGCCCTAAACAAATTACTCGTTCAAATGTTCCCTTGCATTTAGTTTGTTTGTACACATATATACTGTTACATGTACAGAAAAACATTGCTTTTGAACACCTCTATATAAAGAGATTGTGTTGGGGGGGTTGGGAGGGAGAGGACACAGAATCTCTTCATTTTTCTTATTTGTATATTTCTTCTACGGTCTTTTTTCCATTATATTTTTGGACAAAGGACTAGGATGATACAATATTTCATACAGCGCTTACTTTTATTTTGCAGTCTGAT